AAAAAAAAAAAAAAGAAATCCAGTGCAATGCCTAGTGGATTGTGAAAACTCCCAAGTGAGAATACAGGAATTACTACCTTCATAATAAACCATAACATATGAAAATGTGTGCATGCAGTTAAAGAAGTGATTTGAAGGAAATATGTTTCCTTCACTAGCTCTAGAATTGAGAAAATTACATAGTTTACACAATAAATTGTATCCGGTTTACATTCCAGAAACCTTCATGGTTCTGCCTTACCAATAAGTTTCCTTTGGTCTTTCTAACCATTTTTTTTTTTTTTTTTTTGAAACAGAGTCTTAAGTTGTTGCCCTGGGTAGAGTGCTTGGAGTCACAGCTCATAGCAACCTCAAACTCTTGGGTTTAAGCGATTCTCTTGCCTCAGCCTCCTGAGTAGCTGGGACCACAGGCGCTGGCCACAATGCATGGCTACTGTTTTGTTGCAGCTTGGCCAGGCCGGGTTCGAACCCGCCACCCTTAGTATATGGGGCCAGTGCCCTACTCACTGAACCACAGGCACTGCCCTACACCTGGTTATTTTTGTTGTTGCAGTTGACGTTGTTGTTTTTAGCTGGTCTGGGCTGGATTTGAACCAGCCAGCTCTGGTGTATGTGGCTGGCACCTTAGCCACTTAAGCTATAGGCGTGGATCCTTCTTTTTTTTTTTGAGGCAGAGTCTTACTATGTTGCCCTCGGTAGAAGGCTGTGGTGTCACAGCTCACAGCAACCTCAAAGTCTTAAACTATGCTCTTGCCTCAGCCTCCCAAGTAGCTGGGACTCCAGGCGCCTGCCACAACACCCAGCTGCTTTTTTTGTTGTAGTTGTCATTATTGTTTGGCAGGCCAGGGAGGTGTTGGAACCCTCCAGCTTCTATGTGTGTGGCCCGCTTTCTAGCAGCTGAGCTACAGGCACCAAGCGTTATTGATCTTTTCAAAGTGCCAATTTGGGGTTTGGTGTTTTCCCTGTTTTCTATTTCATTGCTTTTTAGTCTTAATTTATTATTCTCTATTAGTTACCTTGTGTTTAATTGGCCCTTCTTTTCACAGCTTCTCAAGATGGAAGCTTAGAGTATTGATTTTAAGCTTTTATACATTTCCCTCAAAGCACTTTTTTTTTTTTGAGACAGAGTCTCATTATGTCACCCTCAGTAGAGTGCTGTGACATCACAGCTCACAGCAACCTCAAACTCTTGGGCTCAAGAGATTTTCTTTTCTTTTCTTTTCTTTTTTTTTTGAGACAGTGCCTCAAGCTGTCCCCCTGGGCAGAGTGCCGTGGCATTACAGCTCACAGCAACCTC